TTTAACCATTCACCCACCTAAGGACATTCAGGTTATTTCTGGGTTTTGGCTATTACAAATATTGCTGTGATGAACATTTGTAGACAGGTTTTTGTGTAAATATAAGTTCATTTCCCTGGAATCAATGCCCAAGAGTGAAATGCCCAGATCACATGGCAGTTGTTGCATGTTTACTTTTGCAAGTAAGCTGACAATTACTTTCCAGAATGGCTATGAAATTATACATTGCCACAGCAATGTATGAGCAACTGGTTTCTTGGGATTCTTGTCAGAATTTGATGTTATCACTATTTTTTAACCATTCTAAAAGATGATAGTGATGTTGAGTTTAATTTGCTTTTTTCCTAATAGCTAATGATGTTGAACATCTTTTCATTGGTTTATTTGATTTCTATATCTACTATTTGGTGAAATGTCTGTCCATAGCTTTCCTTCACTCTAACTGGATGGTTTCCTTGAGTTTTGAAAGTACTTCATATTCTGAATACAAATCCTGTATCACTGATCTATTGGTATATCCTTAATGTCAATACACCATCTTGATCACAGTAGCTTTACAACAATTCCTGAAAAAATCAGGTAATATTAGTCCTCGAACTTTGCTCTTCTCTTTCTGTTTGGCCTTTCTAGGTCCTGTGCAGTTCTACAAACGTTTGAGAATCAGTTTGTCAGTTCACACATGCACATGCACACGCACACACACACAAACAGGCTGCTGGGATTTGATAGGGACTGTATTAAATCTATACTGAATCCATATTTTGGGAGTGTGACATTTTAAGAATGTTGAATCTTCTGATCCATGAACACGGTGTATCTTCCCATTGACTTGGGTCTTCTTTATCATAGCATTATTCTGTAGTTTTCGGGGTACAAGTCTTTCTCATTTTTTGTCAGATATATTCCCAAGTACTTTTATGCTACTGCAAATACTGTTGGTTTTAAATTTTCAATTGTTCACTGCTATTAACAGCATATAGAAATAAAATTGATTTTTGTACGTTGCTTCATATCCTGTAACCTTGATATCCTGTAAACTCACTTACACTATTGTTCCAGTAGCTAGTTTGTAGACCACTGAATTTCCTACATAGACAATGTCTTCTGTGAATAGAGTTTTACTTCTTCTTTCTTTCCGACCTGGACATCCTTTATTTCTATTTCTTGCCCTACTGCACAGTCCAGAACCTTCAGTACAATGTTGAACAGAGGTGGTAAGAGCAGACATCCTTGATTTGTTCCTGATGTTAGGGGGAAAATATTTAGCCTTTTATAATTATGTTAGCTGCAGGATTTTGTAGAAGCCCTTTATTAGAGTGAGGAAGTTCCCTTTATTCCTAGTTTGCCTGATTACCAGAAACGAATGTTGGATTTTGTCAAATGCTTTTTCTGTATTGAGATAATTATACAATTATTTTTAGTTTGTTTATATGGTGAATTACATTAATTCTTAAATGTTAAATCAACCCTGCATTCCTTGGATAAATCTCACTTGATCATGACACACTATTTCTTATATTGTAAAATTTAATTTGCTAAACTTTCGCTTAGAATTTTTACCCTATATTCATGAGAAATATTGGTATGCAGTTTTTTACAACTACCATCAGAACTATAACACGCTATTAAGTGTTGTACCTCAGAGAGCATCATCTTATCAGTTTGAATCATGTGACTGTAGTTTTTTATAGTTTTTTCTTCTAACATTGTCTGGCCGGGGTACCAGGACAATTTTGGTACTAGGGTAATTCTGGTCTCATAGAATGAGTTTGAAAGTATTTTTTCCTCTTCAATTTTTTGAAAGAGTTATTTGTATCTGTAGCATCTTTAGTGATGTCACCTGTTTCATTCCTTATACTGGTAATTTCTGTCTTGTCTCTTTTTGCCCCTGATATATCTGGGCTGGAGATTTATCAATTTTTTTTTACCCCCAAAGAATAATCTTTGCATTCATCGATTTTTCTCTATTTTTTATTTCATTGAGTCCCACTTTGATCTTTATTATTCCTTTTCTTCTGCTTACTTTGGATTTTATTTTTTCTTTTCCTAAATTCTTAAAGAGGAAATTAAGGTCCCTGATTTGAGACCTTTCTTTTTCCTAATATAGATATATAATGCTACAAGTTTCCCTCTTAAGTACTACTTTAGTGGAAACTCACCAATTATATATATATATATATATATATATATGATATATATTAAAAAATTTTATTCACTTTACTAATTTCCCTAGGCTTATTTTGACTTAGGGATTATTAATAATTGAGTTTAGTTTCCTAAAACTTAGGGTATTTTCAAGGACATGTAATTGATTTCTAATTCCACTGTGGCCAAAGAACACACTTGTATGACAAATATTTTTGAATTTGAGACATTTTTAATGGACTATCATGTGGTCTATCTCTATAAATGTTCCATGTGTGTACTTGAGAACAATTTGTATTCTGCTGTTGTAGGGTGGAATGTTCTGTATCAACTAGGTCAGGTTGGTTGATAAGTCTCTACTATATTCTTGTTGATTTTCTGCCTACCTGTTCTATCAACTATTGAGAGAGGGGTATTAAATCTGATCATTGTGGATTTGCCTATTTCTCCTTACAGTTCTATTAGGTTTTGCTTCATGTGTCTTGAAGCTTTGTTATTAGATGCCAAACTTTGAGGCTGTTTTCTTCATTAGTTGACCGTGTTATCAGTATGAAATAATCTTCTTTAGTCTCTGGTTTATATTCTTTGCTCTGAAATCTATTTTGATATTAATATAGTGACTTCACTTCAACTTTCATTTAGCTAGTATCAGCATGGTACATCTTTTTCTCATCCTTTTAACCTACTTGTATCTTTATATTTAAAGTATATTCTTGTAGGCAGAATATAGTTGGGTCTTGTTTTTTCAATCTAAGCTGACAATCTCTGCCTTTTAACTGGGAGGTTTAAAGTATTTATGTTTAATGTGATTACTGATATGGTTGAGTCTCTTACCTTGCTATTTGTTTTCTACTCATCCCATCTGTTCTTTATTCCCTTTTACCACTTTTTCTGTCTTCTGGATTAATCCAGTGTTTCTATAATTCTATTGTTATCTTTTGTTAGTTTGATAGCTATGATTTTTTGGTTTGTCATTTTAGTGGTTGTTTTAGGGTTTATGGTACACATTTTTTTTTTTTTGGAGACAGAGTCTCGCTTTGTTGCCCAGGCTAGAGTGAGTGCCATGGCGTCAGCCTAGCTCACAGCAACCTCAAACTCCTAGGCTCAAACAATCCTACTGCCTCAGCCTCCTGAGTGGCTGGGACCACAGGCATGCGCCACCATGCCCAGCTAATTTTTTCTATATATATTAGTTGGCCAATTAATTTCTTTCTCTTCATAGTAGAGATGGGGTCTCACTCTTGCTCAGGCTGGTTTCGAACTCCTGACCTCGAGCAATCCACCTGCCACGGCCTCCCAGAGTGCTAGGATTACAGGCGTGAGCCACCCTGCCCGGCCTATGGTACACATTTTTAACTTACCACAGTCTACCTTCAAGTGCTAATATATCACTTTGCATATAGTATAAGAACCTTACAATAGTATGCTTCCCTCCTCCTAGTCTTTAAGCTATTATGATCATCCATTTTACTTTTACATATCTTACAAATCCCACACTACTTTATAACTTTTGTTTAAACTATCTTTTAGAGAGATTTACAAAATAAATCATATATTTACCCGTGTTACTATTTCCCAGTGCCCATTCCATTGGGTAGGTATTTTCCTTTTGCCTGAAGGACATCTTTAAACTTTTCTTGTAGTGCAGGCCTGTGGGTGATAGTCTTGGCTTTTCTAAGTTTGAAAACATCTTTATTTACTCATATCTATTATTCTATTTTCACTGGAGACTAGTCTGCTGTTAAACCAATCCAGTGAACTTTCAATTTTAATTATGATATTTTTCATCCCTGGATTTCTATTTGGCACTTTCCCCATTCTACCTGGATATTTTTATACTCATCCTATTTGATCCCCCTTATTTAAGTATAAAACATATCTCATATTGTGCCTGGCACTCTAACATCTTAAATCTTTCTAGGCCTGCTTCTGCCCATTGTTCCTCCTGGCTCTGGCCTATTTTATGTTTGTGATTTTTGACTATGAACTTATATTCCTTAAAACTATCTCTTGAATTCTTCCAAAGACAATCTGTTTTGATTTGCCCATTACCTGGAAGGCCCTGAAAACTTATTATCACTTTAAGTTTTCTGACTGAGACTCTTTAAGACTACCTAGGTTGCATAAACAAACCACCTCAAGGGATGCCTATGATTCTATACGCACACACACACTCACTCGCGCCCTCTCTCAAGGGAGATGCTTTCAGTCAGGACAGGCAATCTTCCTTGTGTTCTGGGCTACGGGGGTTGGGAAGGATAGGTGAAGCGAGCAGGCTTATTCACAGTTCACCCTTACACTAGTCTATCCTTTCAGAGCCCCACACCACGAGGTCTCCTGTTAGCCTCTGACCTTAGGCAGGCCTTGAGCTGGGTCTGCCCTTCTCGTCCCCCACCTCGAGCTGTGAAACTTAAGATGTCAGAGTCACCAAACACAATATAAGGTATGTTTTGTACTCAAATAAGGGGGATTAAATTTAATGGGGTAATACATGAATAGCACGACAGAGACTGGTCCTGGTAAAGATGATATAAAGATTTCTTCCTATTATCTGAAAAAGCTGTAATGAGTAACAGCACACATCTCATCCAATGCTCTTAACACCCCGGTCCTGGCTCTTCAGACCTACTCTACCATGTAGTAACCTACACCCCGTGAGACACTGACAGACAGAAATCAACTACAAGCTATTCACTGGACAACACAGGCTCAGCTGCTGTGACAGACAGACCCCAAGTCCAGAGCAGAATGCTAGCAGATGCTATCTGAGAAACGTCATTATCACACAAGCCTGAGTGGACACAGAGTCTTTTACCATCAAGAAATCTGAAAACCAGCATAAACGTAAACAAAAATGATTTTAAATTTTGTATTTTTTATGGTGGACAGTCATCATTTGCCCCAACAGCCATATGAAGCCAATAGTCCTGGTTATTAAAAATCACAAAGTTGTATAAATGTTCCCCTCCTTTTCGAAAACCATGTTCATTTTCTCTCCATGAAACAGGGCTGTCTGCGAAGCCTTGAACTGACAACGTAACCCATGGGGCTAACTTCGGTTCATCAAAGTAGTGACTGAAAAACAAGACAATTTTTAACAAACAGGCAGAGTTAGGAATGTCTACATTTAAAAAAAAAATTATTCAGAATAAGTGGTATTTCTGATGTTCTACTGAAGCTTAGATCTTAGCTTTAATTGATAACAATTAGGAAATGCAGATTAAATTCCTGATGCCATGTTGGAAATTTTATAAAAGTTTAATATACAACACACAAAACAAACTTCAGCTGTTCCCACCCTTATTCTGGAAGGTCATTTAAGATTAAAAGAACCCAAAGCAAAAAAACCCACAAAGTGTATAAGAACAGTTTCCCTCTTTTTATGAGTGCCATTCTCAGAGTCTCAGTAAACCAAAATGCTGCAGGATGATTCACCAGACTGTTGAAATCCAGCCGTCTTACTGAGGAAAATCAAAGTACTAAACTAATAAATGTGAAAAAGGATGTTGGGCTTAAAAAGGAAAACCTTTAAGACTTAAATCTTACTTTTCAGGAAGGAAGATTAAGAAGACATGCTTACTAAATAGGATTATGCTCAACTTATAGTCTTTTCGATATAGGATTTGAGTTTCTTTACATTAGACACAAAGTATTAAATAATATATTTTATTTATATAGTACCTCCCCAAATGAAAAAATCTATACTATTCTATGTAATTCTTGGCATATTATTAATGCCCAGTGATTCACAGAATTTTAGAGCTGGAAAATATCTTAGATAAGCTTTGGATTCAAAGATAGTCAACTTACCCCCCCCCCCCACCTATTTCAAAATGAAATATTTTGTAGAACTTTAATACTTAAAACAGATTATAATTTGTTCCAGACAGTACTGCTGTGTTTTTAAGTGATATTATAGCTTCAATTGCACAAAATGGCCCTGGGGACCAGAAGAGGGAATGAGCAGTTTATTTTCAAGAAGCACATTTAAGCTCTGCTGTTTTCTTTTCATAAGGACAAGTACTTGGCAATAGAATTTTCCTATCAGTGAGGATAGATAGGCCGTTTAAGAAGGCAAAGTTAGCACACTTGGAGCCCAAGCGAAAAAAGGGGACCCTGCAATGTAGAATAGCAGCACTTCCCCAGCACGTCACAGTGGCACTGACAAGCAAGATGTACAAGGCAAGAAGGGTTCTCACCGGAGCTGTTCCAGGAGGAGGTGTATCTTCTCCGGAAGTATGAAACCAGTGACTGTGCACAAATAAGCTTTGGCCACCACTGTGCTTGGCTGAGGACAGCAATAGGTTGATATGAAATTGTTAGGCTCATTATTTCTGTCACAAAAAAAAAAAAAAACACATTTATATCCATCACATGATCACTTCCAAATACTAAACTAGTATTAAAGCCGAGCAGCAAACGAGAGCCCTGCAAGATCCAGGGAGCTGAGATACGCACAAGCTGGTGTTAGTGAAGACGGCACCGAGCCAGTCGAAGAGCTCCAGCGCGCCGCAGGACACCTCCGGCGCTCCCCCAAGCTCACCACTCTGCAGCACCGGGCACTGGAGATCTCTCACCGTGCTCAGTGATACTTCTGGCTGATGCTCTTGAATGTGGTAATTGGAAAAGTATGACATCATCACTGATTCTTCTACACCTTAAAACACACCATATAAAGCCATTTGAATGTTATAAACAAGTTCAGTGAATCCCCGAACCTACCCCATTCCCATGTGGAAGCAGACAGGATTAAGTGAGCTGCAGGCAGTACAAAACTGTATTCAAACTGAAACCATTTAAAGCTGTTTTCAGCTCCTTGCCCAAGTTCTGTAAGAACTCATCTTCTTTCACACTTTTCCTGGAAAAGTACTATACTTTCAGATCAGATCCATACTAGTTTCATCATTTGCTTTAATAAGAAAATTTCAACTTAATGCATAAAACCAAAAACATTCCTGATATATGAATAACATTAAAGAACTCTACAGAGAAAGGAGCACTTTGCATAATCTCTATTAAAGGAAACAGAAGAGGAACTGAATGATGATATGACAGAATCTCATTCAAGTTTGCCTTTGAAAATCTAGTAAAACCCAGTGTATCTTTTCAGGGATGTTTGTATAGACAACAGCCTTGGAAGATAAGTTAGTGCCCTACTCCAGGACAAAGGGACAGCCTGCCTACTGTCCAGTATGATGGAAATAACATCTCCCTTCCTCTCTCTGGGGTAGAGATCAGCAGGTTTACCACCCATTTTGAAAGATTCTAGTTCCTTAAGCTCAGGTTCCTCTTCTGTAAGTAACCCACTGCATGTGCCAGCATCACCTGGCCCCAGTTTTCATCATCACTTTGTGTCACTCCATGGGAAATGAGACTTGGTGAACCGGTACAAATGCTGATACTCTTTGTGATGGTTAAGTATCAAGTGGACTGGATTAAGGGATACATAGTAAGCTTGTATCCCTTAATAATGGCTGGTAAAGCAATATTTCTGGGTGTGTCTGTGAGGGTGTTTCTGGAGGAAATTGGCATGAGTCTGTGGACTGAGTGGGGAAGATCTGCCCTCAATGTGGGTGGGCACCATTCAGTTGGCTGGGGGGCCAGATAGAACAAAAAGGCAGAGGAAAGACAAATTCACTCTCTCCTGGAGTTGGGACACCCTTCTTCTCCTGCCCTTGGACATCAGAACTCCAGGTTCTTGCCTCTGCACTCCAGGAAATGCACCAGTGTTCCCCGGGGTTCCCAGGCCTTTGGACTCAGACCGAGAGTTACACTACCTTCTCTCCTGATTCTCAGCCCTTCAGACTTGGACTGAGCCACGCTACTGGCGTCCTTGGGTCTCAAGCTTGCAGACGGCCTATCGTGGAACTTCTCAGCCTCCATAATTGCATAATCCAATCCCCCAATAAATCCCCTCCCACCCACCCCTCCATTCATCTCTCTTATTGGTCCTGTCTCTCAGGAGAACCCTAATATACTCTGACTACTGCTATTGTTGTGAAGAATTGAGTCCTTTATCTCTGACTCAGAAGTCACATGCCTTCTGTCAGCATCCACGACATTGTGGTAGGCCACCTTGTTAGCCTGCAAGTAGGGGAGTATCTCAGACCTTTCAAAGTTCCTGACAAACCCTTAATTAGGGACCGCAGGAACAGAGAGCTATCCAGAACCCAGTGGATGGTCCTCATAGAAGACTTCATGTGACTGAAACTTCAATAGGTCAGTCTTCTTATTTACCATACATAGAAGGAGAGGTGCCAAAGTCCAGACCTAGGACTCGTGGAAGCAACCTGGAGCACCCAGTGACCAGAAACTTTCCATAAGGAGCAGACAAATGGGCATATTTCTAAATGGACCACTGTGCTTCTCTACCCTTCAGAGGAGAGTACTATACTATCGTAATTCCTGATGATTTGATTCATACAATCTCGTGATGGGCCGAAGATATACTTCTAAAAGGAGCAACACACATGGCAGTTGTAGGCAGATTACTATGTTTGGCGAACATCAAACTTTGAACTAAATTTAGTGTTCTAATGAATTAAAAGTTACAATAAATTTAACCTGACATTTAACAGTATGCTTTAGTTACTACCCTGTGATAATGAATAAGCAGACTGTATATGTAAGTATAATTGGTACTATTTTAATATATTGTAGCCAAGGCTATTTGAGGTATGCTGGATAAAATGGGAGAAACAGATAAAAGTGAGCTGGTCTGAAGCCACTCTCAAAATCTCTGGATCTACATACAATCCATGGAGACTGAGGCAGATGGCCTTCATGCCTAGATAATCCTGAACTATGCTTTTCAGAGACATCAAAACAGTTGGAGCAGCTTCCTTAATAATAATAATTATATACAAATGTATACAATATCCCATGACCCTCAGGATAAATCACCATTCAATCCTCCATTACTCCTGTTAAATTAACAATTAGATTTCAAAATCACTGTATCATTACATAATTTATTCTTCATACCTGTATGATGCCAAGCCAAAAGAAAATCAAATTTCAATGGCTTCTTTTCTTTGAAGGACCAAGATATTCTTTTATACTTCTTAGAATCCAGGTTAAATGATAAATCCATCAAATCAATGGAAACAACTTAAAAATGAAAACAGGAATATGTATTTAATTTTTATATATATGGCTTGCACTGTGGAGAAAATGTTATTTTTTTTTAAAATGGGATTTTCAGAAATTTCATGGATAGTAAAATAATTTTATTCTTCCTGCACTCCCTTTGGTTTACCAAATCAAAAATGCCCTTTAGTGGGCATTTCTAGCATTGAGAGGTATTAACAAGAGACATTTTAAATTCATATATTTCCTAGGTGAAAGGCCAAGGGCAGAGGACCTTGGGAGGTCAAATTTAATCTACTTATGGATTTGGCAGCTTTAACGATTGATGTTCAAGCCAGACACTGTCAACAGAACATCTCTTCACTCATGGGTGAATTTCTACCAGTAATCATAAAGACATGGGGAAATCAAAGGAAATTCTTTATTAAGAACAAATTATAGACCCCTATCTTGGATTTATTACTTTGAATTTTTGACCCAAAACATATATCTAACAGACCAGTCCAATTCTATGATCTTTATAAATTGCAATCTGCTGATGAAGAGAAATAAATTTACTGGCATCATCTTATCCTCTATAAAGCTCCTTGAGTCAGAAGCTTTACAAATAAAAAAAGCCATATTTTTCTGAACAAAGAGCTCAGAGACAATTCATGCCATTTACATTGAAATTGCTACAGGAAGATTACAGACTTGTTGAAAACTGGTGGAACACACATAGTACTTACTAAATTTCATAATTTTTCTGCCAGAATACTTAGATGGATGACCTTGAAGTCCACTTTCTTCATAAGTGTCTTTATCCAGTGATAAAATTAATTTCCCTATAAATTAAATAATTCCCATCAAAGAGATACTAAAAATATGACTTATGCTCTCTGACTAAAAGAAAGCAAGCCAAATTGAACAGTTAGATATCAGTGTAATAAACTGCATACAAGCATCTTATTTATAATACAAGAATATCATTTATACATATAATTTTATTATGTTAATAAGGATATTATTTATATATACAACAATATTATTTATAATAGTAGAACCATAAGTAATCTAAATTTCTATTACAGACAAAATAAATCATGGTATGTTCATTCTTTTGACTGTCTTCAAGACATTAAAAACATTAAGTTAGAACTACATGAACTAATACGGAAAGATGTCTACGATGAGAAGCTTGGGAATAAAGGCACATTGAGAAACAGTGTAGTATATTGTAATTTATGCAAAAACAGAACAATTTTTGAATTTATAAATTTGTAGGAAACATGTGGAAGAATAAACATTAAACCGTTAACAACAGTTTCTTCTAAGGAGAGTGTGTTTGGAGAGAAGGGAGTAAAAGGGGAGACCTTTGCTTTACTCTCTATTGATCTGTATGATTTGACTTTTTTTCAGTATAGATCTCTTTTATAGTTAAAGGAAGAAAAAAATGGGCTGGGCGCAGTCACTCACACCTGTAATCCTAGCATGCCTGTAGTCCCAGCTACTCGGGAGGCTGAGGCAGGAGGACCGTTTGAGCCCAGGAGTTTGAGGTTGCTGTGAGCGAAGCTGATGCCACGGCACTCTAGCCCGGGCAACAGAGTGAGACTCTGTCTCAAAAAAATAAATAAACCTTTAAGAAATAAAAATATGAGTGTTTACCATTTGGTAGCAGGGCAACAGTATTATCTTCATCAATATTTGTATTGTATGTTAGTGCACAGCAAGAACCTGTAGAAAAAGTCCAGAAGAGAAATTAAAACAAAGAAGAAATCATACCTGCAAAATGTTAGTGGACTATTTTCACATGATAAAAATCTTCCAGGTAATTAATAGTCAGGGTCTACCACTGCTCCAGCTCACCCAATAAGCCTAACACCTGCCAAGAGTAAGCTGGAGCACACAGAAGGCCAAGCTCCAGCTAGTTCCCTCCCCTGCCAAGGAGACCCTTGGCAAAAGGGCAATTTGTGCAAATTTACTATCATCTAGCAGAAAGTGGACTCTGAATGAAACATGTACCCTTGGGGATGCCGGCAGAGAGGCACAAAGTAGATACTAAGGAAGTGTATACACCTTAGAGGCAGAGTTCCAGGTTAAGATTCAAAAGCTTCTCCACCTCTCTGAGCCTCAGTTTCCTCAACTGTTAAATGGAGAGCACAGGCTTGCTTTACAGAGTTGCTGCCAGGGTTAAATTCGGTAAAATATTTTAAAATGCCCACTATAGCAAGTGTTCATGTTATTAACTGAGTAGCATCAGGCTTCAGAATGAGAGGTGCTACAAATGACCAGAATTCTTCACAGCTCCACTGGAGGGGATGAACTACCACAATCTAAGTGTGAGGCCACTGCACAGACTTACACAGTGAGGGTGGAATTGCTAAAGACACTCTGAAATATAGTTTCAAACAAATGGCTCCCAGGAAACAAGTAGAACCAACCAGTCAACTCAGCAGATGTGGCTGGGAATGGGGTGAGCAGAAGAGGATGAGTGCCACAGAATCTTGGAAGACATCGAACCCCAATGAACACCTGGCTCTGTGAACAGCAGCTGTGGTTGCAACCTTCTGAGACAGCCGCTGTGGGGACTGCTGAGAGCCACACACCCAACAGTGCATCTGAACACAGATCACAAGACTTTCTTCTCCATTAATCCTTGTTTTAAGATGATATACACTCATGTTATTAATACAACATCCCCATCCAACAATTGTGGACAAGTATAATCAGAAACCACCACTAAAGAGTAGGATGCGGACACTGAGGGACAGGCAGAGGGATGCATGTGTGCACTTGACCACACGGACATCCCCACAGGCCCTGTTCAAAACAAGAGAAGAATCTTAGTATTGTGATGTGGTCTGCCTACCGTTCCTCACCTTGCCTTTGTTCACAGATGTTTCAGTTTTTCTTACCTTTCTTTACAAAGATGTTGATGAATTCCTGTGAAATTAATTCATGAAGAGGTAAATTCTTCACAAAGTAATAGGGTCCAATTTCCATGACCAGGTTTTTCAGTTCTTTTGATAGTATCCCACATTCAGGAATGAGAAATGAAACCTATTGGAACATGTCACACAAACAAGGTCTGACTTTCATGAAGATTAACACCCAGGTTTTTAAGAATGAAGTACGATCATGAAAATTGCTAACTATTTCTCCACAGGTCTTACTGGAACATATAAAGATAGGCAACAAAACTCTTAGGTTAATTTACCAATCTCAGGCAAAGAGAAATTTGACAATTCAAGTTTTTCATCCCTGCATTTGAACGTACAGTACAGGAAAGAGACTGAGCAGAAAAACTGTAAAGGAAAGGTCTTGCATTTTATCTTTTGCAAATTAGCAATACTGTCTATTTTATGGCCTGTTCCTCTATTTTCAAGAAAATATAGTATAATTGAATATCCCTTGATTTGTTTACCCTGGTACTACCCTGGAATAAAGGCAAAAGAAATTTACGGATATGATTGTTAGGCGTATATATGTAAGCAAAGGTGCTCCTGGATGTTTCCATTTTCGAGACAGTAAAGACATTTATCTCTGACTGCTGTCTGTGATCAGCTTTCATCCAAAACAGAGATGTCAAAACCAGACAGGCTTCAAATGTTGCCCAAGTGCTGCATGTCGTGGAAGATGCACTCCCAAAGCTCGAACACCAGTCCATTCCTGATGGATAAGGGCACCACTTACGTCTCTGAGACACTGCCGAGTTAGGCCTGAGTTATTAGGCCAATCAATTTAAAGTGTAGAATGCTTAACCTGTCATCTTAAGTTTGTTTTGTTTTTTGAGACAGGGTCTTGCTTTGTTGCCTGGACTAGAGTGTTCACGACAACCTCAAACTCCTGGGATCAAGCGTTCCTCCTGCCTGAGCTTCTCCAGTAGCTGGGACTACCCGCGCCTGCGACGACAAACTAATTTTTCTGGTTTTGGCAGAGACAGGGTCTCCCTCTTGCTCAGGCTGGTCTCCAACTCCAACTCCAACCATCGTCCAGCCTGGGCCTCCCAACGTGCTAGGATTACAGCTGTGAGGCACGCACGGTGTCCGGCCTTAAGTTTGTTTTTATGAAGTTTCTCAGATGTAAAAGCAGTTTCCATAATCAGTTTAGAAAAGCAGGCAGCTTCCTGCGCCAGGAAAGATCCACAGGTGTCCAGGTGGGAGAGGCCATCAAGCTGGGGAGGGAGCCGGTGGTGGAGACGAGGCGCGAGACCCGTCTAGGTTTTGGGCAAAAACGAGGTGCACGTGGCCGCCGGAGGATGCACGCCGCAGCGGTCACGCCCTCCTAACTCCCGGGTCCAGGTCCCGCCCCTCACATCCCTCCCAGGCACTCCCCGTGGGGTGGCGACTAGACAGGAATACGCAGTCCAGGGCGTTTTGGAAAGCTGCTCCCTCCAGGGCTGCGCCCGCCCCGCGCCCAGGACATCCTGGGAGTTGTAGTCCTGAAGCCCCGCAAGCCACGACTCGGGGAGGCTACTAGACTACAGCTCCCAGCATGCCCGGCGAGAGCCCTGTCCCTCTGCGTGCCGCAGGCGGTCCCGCCACCAGTCACCGAGCGCGGCCCGGAAGGCCCGTATGGGCGGACTCACCCTGTAATTATGATAATGCGTCTCCACGAGATGCCGGTGGCGCGACTTGTCGTGTCCAAAGTTGGATTTCTCGCAAACCAGTAAGTGCCGTGGCGTCTCTCGAAGCCGGCGAAGCGTGGCCATGCTTTCCTGATTCCTGGCACCCGGGCCCCTGTGAGCCGCGCGCGCCCCGCCCCTTTCCTCCGCCGCGCCCCGCCTCCTCCCTCCCGCGGGCATGCGCAGTGCGGTCTACCGCGCACTTGGCCGCCCGATCCTCCCGGTGCGCCCGGGTAGTGGTGCTCGGTTTCTGGAGTGTTTTTACTTCCTAGGAAACTATGCAGAAGCGCGCTGAGGGGTGTCTGCAACCGTAAAGTCACTGCCTTAAATGGAAATAGCCAGTTCCTGGGAACCTGGCACTGGCCTTTCACAGCCACTTTTCCTCCATCCCCTCCAACCCTCGGAGCTGCCGTAGATCCTGCGTGGGACCCCCGACTTGCAGCTCGCCACACAGCGCCCCTCGGACCTGCGATCTGGCCGGCGGCCCATGCCTCAGGCCGCTCCAAGGGACTGCTTTCTGCCACTCTTGCAAAAGCAGAAAACACCTCGGTGGAAAGGCCCAGTTCCTGCATTGTGCAGTGGGAAATGCAGCTGCACAGTTAAGTAAACGCCTAAGCTGCTTTTCCGACTCCTCAGGTAGTCTGGTTCACGGGACTTGGTTATCTTCTTGGGGACCTCGTGGCCATGGTTAATTAACGTGGGCTAACAGAACCAAAAGTTCACGTTGGTCCTTCCCAAAAATGTTAAGTCTATGAGGGAAGGTAGTACACAATTTGTGCATTTCTGCCCTATCATGGGATTCCTTTGAAACCACTTTTTTCCTTTTTTTTCTTAAACCCTCTCATGAGAAATCAGATGAAACCACTTTTTTTTTTTTTTTTTTTTTTTTGCGACAGAGTCTCACTTTGTTGTCCAGGCTAGAGTGAGTGCCGTGGCGTCAGCCTAGCTCACAGCAACCTCAAACTCCTGGGCTCAAGCAATCCTTCTGCCTCAGCCTCCCGAGTAGCTGGGACTACAGGCATGCGCCACCATGCCCGGCTAATTTTTTATATATATATATCAGTTGGCCAATTAATTTCTTTCTATTTATAGTAGAGACGGGGTCTCGCTCTTGCTCAGGCTGGTTTTGAACTCCTGACCTTGAGCAATCCGCCCGCCTCGGCCTCCCAAGAGCTAGGATTACAGGCGTGAGCCACAGCGCCCGGCCTGAAACCACTTTTAATATCTCTTTTTAAATACTCCTTCAGAACTATTAATACTTTTGCATTTTTAAAAATTAATTTATTTTTTAGAGACAGGGTTTCACCCTTCGGCTGGGCTTGATCATAGCTAATAGCAGCCTCAAATTCCTGAGTTCCAGCGATCCTCCTGCCTCAGCCTCCTGTTTAACTGGGACTCTAGGCTCATGCCAACACAGCTGGATAAGTTTTAAATTTTTTTGTAGACTGGGGTCTCGCTGTGTTGCACAGGCTGGTCTTGAGCTTCTGGCTTCAAGTGATCCTTCTGCTTTGGCCTCCCAAAGTGCTGTAATTACAGACATGAGCCACTGTGCCTGGCCCGGAACTGCTTTTAATAATTTGTTGCTTTTGGGGGTTACAGTGATAAGTCATTTCTCCATTTGGTTTTTCTGATTAACTGCATTACAACATGCTTCTCAAACTGGAGAATACACAGCCCCAGTTCTGCACAGGGAGGATGCAAAACAGCAGAATTTTGGTGATACTTCTTCATGGAGCGTCAGTTTTACTACAAGATTTGGAAGAAATGGAGTTAGGTAATTTGCAAGATAAGTAGTTAAAATTGTAAAACTAAGACAAAGCTGGAAAGCCATCTGTCATTGATAACTAATCTGTGACTGAAATGTCAGACTTTTTCCAAGAAAAAAAACTAATGACAACCTATTTCTGATTATTTTAATTGCCAAAATTGGAAGGCATAGGAAGTCAGTCAAAAACCCTACCAAGAACCTAAATCACAACATGACTCCTAGATATATGTTGCAAGTAGTATGCTAAGATATAAAATGCTTAAAACATTGCTTCTTGATCACCTCAAACTTAATATGGTTTTTAACATACCATTACTTTGTGGACACTAGCAGAAGCCTGTGACCAGCAACATCACATACGTACATCTCCTTTGTCAATACTCCAAAGCCTTGTAAAGTGATTAGCATGGTTTTGATAGTCTACCAATTGTATTTGGAAGCAACATGAAGCTTTCCCAGCAAACCATTTAGTTTAAAATCTTGCATTTTTTGAAGATTCAAAACAAATTTTACCTATGTAAATATTGCTCAAAAATATATTGTGAGATAAATAGCTGCTGAGCAGTTTGGGTATTAAAAACTAAGATATGTTCTTCCAGAAAACTACTAATTGGGGAATGCTTATATTATTAAATAAATGGCAAGAATCCCATTTATTTTAAAGATTGAAGCTACAACTTCAAATACATTAGGGATTGAGGGGTCCTTTTAGTCTGCAACCCTAGAGTTCTGGAGTTGTGTGTGTGTCGACAATCTCTTGCCATCATCAGCAGACAGGCATGCCTTAATGTTGTGCATTAAGCAAGCAGACCTCCTGTGACCCCGATTCCTCCCCATTTACCATTCTGTCTCTCTGCTCCATTCAAGTTGCTCTCCTTTGTGTTCTCTCAAAAGCCCATTCCCTTCTAGCTGTCCCCCATACCACTTCTCTGACATGGCCTTTGTCCAGGTCACCAGTGATCTCCATTGTGCCAAATTCAATGCTGAGTGTTTTTATCTCAATCTTTTGGCTGCATTTGACTTAGATAATACAATTGAACACTTCCTCCTCCTTGAAACTCTTTCCTCTGGACTTTTGAGATCCCCCTCCTGGGTTTCCTCCCACCTTTTTCTATCCTCTTCCTCCTCCACCAAATCTTGAGTAACCCTCTGTCCCATTCTCTCTCCTATGTACCTCTCTTCTCAGAGTGACCCTACACAGTCCCACAGCTTTAAGTCTCAATAGTCTGCTGGTAACCCCCAGGAGAGGGGTGCTCTTCCCCAGGAGAGCACCCAAGTGACTCCAGCACAGTAGAGAGTGACTCCACTCTCTACTCAGCATGCAGAGGAATCTCTTGAAAACGTGAAAAAACATGATATATGCCTCCCATTCCCATATAGACCTTGCCACTGGCTTTCCATCATGGTAGAATAAAAGCTTAGACAACCTGGCCCTGCCTTCCTCTTCAGCCTCATCTCCTACCCTTGCTTGTTCATACTGTACCAGACTTTCTGGTCTTTAGAGCTGAAAGCAATCTTAACTTATAAACAGGTACTAGACATAGAGTCTGGAGTATAGGACATAGAAGGAAAAGTGTAAGAATGAAGGGCCAGAAATGATATTTTTTAAAAAAGCACATGAAACTGAAAACATAACTGATCTGTATACCCCAAAGAATGTTATGACACAATGAATCTTTTAAAAAAACTAATAGACTTGCAAAAAGAATGGAAATATCTTCATCATATTCCAAAAACAAAATTATATACTTAGTAAACATAAAAGGGCAAATATTTTACACATCACATTTCTAGGCCATAATTAATAAAATTAGAAATAACAGAATTTAAAGATGCTCCTTGAAAATGTTAAAATATTCTTGTTAATAAATAAATGCCAGGTTCAGGTACAAATGTAAAACACAATTACAGTGCCTATAAAAGTGTTTGCAAATATATCATAACCAGATACATGCGGTGTTAGTGAAAGGACAGAGCTGTCTTGGCTGCTCCCAGCTCCCTGAGTGCCTAGGTTATTCTACTTGGAAGCCTAGCTCCTCCTCAGAGTCATTTAACATCATCTCTTTATAATTAGGAGCAGCGTGCAGGGAAATGTGGCTTTGCAGACACCAGCACTAAATCAGAGGACTCTCTCCTGCTGAGCCTGAACTGGACCTCACAGTCCTTGTCAGCACGGAGTTCCAGGCAGCTGCTGTGCATCAATTCGTGTTGGTTTACAGCAGGGGTCCTCAAACTTTTTAAACAGGGGGCCAGTTCACTGTCCCTCTGACCATTGGAGGGCCGCTGGAGAGTGCAGCGCACATTCCACACATGCACACTGTGGGCCCCGGACAAGTCAGCTGCTAAGCAGGACAGGCAGCGGCTGCAAAAACACCCGGCAGGCTGGATGAATGTCCTCAGTGGACCGCATGTGGCCCACAGGCCGTAGTTTGAGGACACCTGGTTTACAGGATCAAAACTACCCTCAGACAGCAGAGTGGAAACTGGCACCAATTGCAACAGAAAAAAAAACTGATGGCCCCTGCTGTGGTCTGAATATTTGTGCCCCCCAAAATTGGTATGTTGAAACCCAGTCACCAACATCAGTGATGGTGTTAGGTGTAGGGCATTTGTGAGGTTATGAATAGGATTAATGCATTTATATAAGAAGCTCCAGGGCCAGGCACAGTGGCTGACACCTGTAATCCTAGCATTTTGGAAGGCTGAGGTGGGAGGATCACTTGAAGGTAGGAATTTGAAACCAGCCTGAGCAAGAGCAAGACCCCTGTCTCTACAAAAAGTAGAAAAAGTAGCTAGCTGTGTTGGTGCACACCTGTAGTCCCAGCTACTGGAAAGGCTGAGGCAGGAGTTCAAGGGTACAGTGAGCTATGAGGACTGCACTCTAGCCAGGGTGACAGAGTGAGCCCCTGTCTCAAACAAAACAAAACAAAACAGCCCCAGAGAGCTGCCTTGCCCCTTCTACCATATGAAGACATGCTGAAAAGATACCGTCAATGAACAAGAAAGTGGGCCCTCCCCAGCCACCTGTCTGTCATCACCTTGATATTGGATTTCCCAGCATCCAGAATTGTGAGAAATAAATTTCTGTCGTTTATAAAACACCCAGTTTATGGTATTCTGTTACAGCAGTCCACATGGGCCAAGACAGCCCCCAAGAAGAATGTATGATCTGCCTGGGATCCAGGTGGCTTCATTTCTTCTCTCGCGGGCTGCTCTCTCTAGCTGGTACAGAGATCAGTGAAGCACACAAACATGTCAAACGTGGCAACTACGTAGGCCATGTCAATATGTGGAAGTGTACAAGTGAACTCATATTTTAAAAGCAGAACACAAAATATTTTGTAGTCTACTCCATCACGTTTTCATATATTTGGAAGAGAATTTGGAAATGGCTGAAATTTTTTATGCAACTCATTCCTTTATTTTGTTTAAGCTTTAAAACATACATTGGTACATAAACAATTTAAGTCTTAGCTACCCAGAAACTCCAAATATCTAGAAGGAGGCATTTCCCAAAGGTCTGTATAATTTGGATTTTACTACAGTTTGAAAACTGTTAAGGGCTAATGCAGTTGATGAAATCATATATACTCACAGAGAAAAGAGCAATTGCTATAATATATACAATTATTAACCATTATATAATACTTTATATAATACCTATAATGTATCAGGCACTGCTGTATACTTTATATTCAGTATCTCGCAGGCATCCTCTGTGAAGTAGGCTTTACTGTCTTCAATTTAGAGTACTGTTAATTATTACAATAAACACAGAATTGAATCACTTTAAACATGGAATACTATAAAAAATACAATATTGAATGAAAAATACAAGTTATAGCGTAGGTATAGAAAATCTCAAAACTTACAAAGTTAAACAATATTTACACATCCATATACTTAAGACTGTAATGAAAGCCAAAGGAATAATTGTTTTAAAACTCTAGATGAATGGTTCTCCTAGATGGGGGAGGCAAAGATGAGACTTGGGAAAGACCATGCAGAAGGCTTCATAGGTAGTAGTGCAGTTGTATATATTCGATAATTATCGGTAGAGGGTATTTATTTTATTTTTCTTTATAGCATATATA